GTGCTGCTCCAGAGGACATGGCGGGGGGGGGGTCCGACCTGGCTGCTCCCTGCGGGGATGTGGGGTGGGGGTTGAAGTAGAGCATGCAGGGTTGGGGCCGCCTGCGCTCACCTCGCTGTAAACCCCTGCTGTGCTGACTCTGTGCCCCCCCCCTCCAATGGCACACATCCAGGCTGGGCTGCTATGACACTGAGCCTGGGACCTGTCTCTCTGGGTGTGGGGGGGGTGGGTGAGGCTGCCATATTGATGTGCCTCTGGGTGCCCAAGGGTTTTTTTGCCCGCCCCCACGCCCCAGCGTGCTGAGTGCCCTCCTCGATGGGAGGGGGAGGGGTCCACAGCCGCTTCTGCTTCCCGGACACCAAGTCGCTGCTCGTGAGAGTCTCCCCCCCCCCCCCGTGCTCTCATGGTTGCCATGGAGAATCTTCTTTTTCCTCCCAGTGGAGGAGAAATTAACACCAATTTTTAATTGGCTCTGGGGCCTCGATTTCCACCCCTACTTCAAGTGCCGAGGACTGAGGAGCGAGGATCCTCTCCCTCGTTTCAGCCCACGCCCCCACCCCCACCCCCACCCCCATGTGCAGCGACCCCACGTCTGCGGCTCAGCTGCAGCCCTGCGATCGCCTGCAAACAGCAAGGAGGATGGCCCAGTGCGTCTGTTGCTAGGGACGACGTCTTTCCCGGGGGAGGGGGGAGCACACTCGCGTCTGTATTCCCTCCCTCCGGAGATAAAACCTCACGGTGCCATTTGCAGAACTTGGGCCGGGCCTGACCGGCTGGTGCCGTCCCATTATCCACACGCAGAGTGGTTCCGAAATGAAAAGGGGGGGGGTCGCCTTCCTGTAGCCTGCGGAAGCCCGCGTTCGCGGTCAGCGTGTCAGCGAGCCTGTCCCTGGGGGGCCTCCTTCTCCGCCGCCCCCATACAGGCTGATTAACTGTCTCCTCACACATTAGTGGCTGGGGGCCTCGGTCGGCCCCCCACCCCGCACGCTCCTTTCCTGCACCCCTTTATCGACATGCACACCTTTTTCTCAGCTGGGCTTTTTGTTTTTCACGCCCCGCAGTCTGTCTGCCGCAAAGAATGGGCCTAGGGCTCGCCCCCCCCCCCCACTGCCCGCTGCGGTGCCAGGAAATGCTGGCATGTGGCGTGTGCGACCACACAGGGGCAGGGGTGGGGACAGGCTGCAGAGGAAAGGGGGGCGGGATGGCCTGGGGAATTTTATGAATAGGAGTTTTCTCCTTGTCCTCTGCGCTCTGTTCTCTGGGGGGGGGGCGTTTAGACAAAAGCGCCCTCCTCAGAACCACCCCCCCCCCACCACCACCACTCCTGTCTCAGCCCTGACTCCTGCTATTGCCAGATAATTACCTGATATCACAGCATCCGTCTGTCCGTCTCTCTGTGTATGTGAGTGTCCGAGTCCCACGTCACGCTCTCGTAACGCGCCATAATTACACTGGCAGATCTGCGGGGGGGGTCACTGGCAGGGACAATAATAACCGCTGTGATTAAGAGGACTGCTTTTATTTATTTCATGCAAGTCTTTCCCTTTCGTGACTCATACGGGGGGAGGCGATTCCTTCATCGCAACGAAACGCACCGGCCGAGATGAAAGAAGATAAAATGCTTTGGGGGGCACGGCTGTGGTGATGGGGGGGGGGGGGGGGGGGGGTTGGCGGAGCAGAGCAGCGTGCTTTGTTGCCTCTGGCACGGGATATTGGCATTGTCAAGTATTTAATCATCCAGTGGGAGACAGGGAGCAGAACCTGGAGGTAATGTGGATGTAATGAAGGGGCATTTATGAACTGGAAGCGAGGGGGGAGGATTTTGCTGGGGAGCCTTCCCATAATGCCGTCTGGGCTTCATGCAGACCCCGGAATAGGCTTGGCTACTCTCCGACCATAACTGTTTATATATTCTGAATTCATGTATCTTTTTAATGGGATTGTCGAGGAAACAAACTACTTCTGTGGTCTCTCACATGTGTGTGCAGCTTGTGAGTCGCCGGGACGTTCCTTGTTCTTGCAGCCGGGGGGCGCCGTGCTGCTTGTGTGGGGCACACCGCCCTGCACGTAGGCAGCCGGCGTGATATGGAGCTTGCACCGGTGTTGTTCATTAACCGGGCTGAGCTCGCTCATTCTTGCCGGTTCCCTTTGTCTTTATTTGTTTCCCGGGGGGGTCTGGGCCGTGATGCCAGAGTGCCACCGATCGCCCCAAGAGCCTCCCCCCGGCTTGGACTCTGCCAGTGCCCACTCCTCCTCCATCTCCAAGCTGAGGACGTGGAGGGGGTGGCACTAGTTTGGGGGGGGGGATAAGGTTTAGGGCGGGCGGCCGTTTAGAGAATCGACCCCGGTGGTCTCCTAGCAACAGAGCCAGTTTCAAACGGGACGGGGGAGTGTGTGTGTGTGAGAGAGAGAGAGGGATAGAGAGGAAGAAAGAGAGAGAGAGATACTCAGAGTGGCTGGCATTATTCTGAGCGGAGGAGACCCTCAGTGTTTTCCTGAGTGGGGGAGCCGAGGGAGGGGCCACACGGCGGGGCCCAGAGGGGCACCTTGGGCCGTACCGGTGACATCACCTGTTACCTGTTCAAGCCAAGCGATTGTCTTACAAAACCGTACGACGCCTCCCATTTCCTCACCTCCCATTTTCTCTGTCTGCACTGCCACGCGAGTTTAAGCCCATTTCTGTGCTGCGCTGGATAGATGGGTGAGGGGGCGCCTCCAGCTGGCCGGCTGAGCTCCACACGCGGGGGTGTCCTGGGTGAAGCTGGACCCGGGGCTGTGACTTTGACCGTCCTGCTCACCGCCTGCCCAGAGAGGCTGCTCTCCCCCCTCCGTGCCCCACTTATCTCCAGGCTGGGGCACCTCCTGTCATGCGGTGTAGCATCCTGGACCACTGACGGGGGGGTGGTTGTCTCAGCATCACATGACCTGGGCTTGCTGGCAGCAGGCGGCATGGCTGTCTGTGTTCCCGGGGGCATTAGCATAATCTTTTCGATGCTAAATAAAAAGGGAAAGCTAGCCAGGATGGATCACTGGGGTCCTGGGGTATCGCGGGGCTGTCCGACGGCTTGCCAGTCACAAAATCCGCAGATTAATCACCGTCGTTTTTATTCTCGTGTCAGGTGCCTGGTAATGAAAAGTAAGTGAAATAATGATTATATTAAAATAAAAGGACACCTTTTGGAGAGTAGCTAGAGTGGGCTGGATTAAAGTCTGCCCTTTCCAAACAAGGTGCCATGCTGCCATGGCAACAGTTATTACCTAGCACCTGGAGAGGGAGAACTGGAACGTGTGAGGGGAGAGTGGCAAACTGGGAAAGGGTGGGGGTGCACAGGAGGAAGTACTTACTGCCTTTCTGTCAGTTACAGGGTGACTGATATCACCCCAACGGTCTGGGGAATTCCTGTCAGAGGTCATGTAAAATGCCTACCCCCAGTGGCCTTTGTCCCGTAGAGAACCGCGCACAGCAATCCTATGTTTGTCCTCCATTACATTGTTTTTAGGAGACTAGATAAGATTGTGTTTATGAGCTGGGGTTAAAGCAACAAAGCTTGTTTCCCGAATTTCGGTGCTCGGGTACGTCGTGGGCCCGCGGGCGCGATGCGAGTCTCGCTCGGCGTAGTTCTCCGTGTCACGTGACCCGCTGCCCCGCGCACCTGCCCGAGAGGTCGGCCGCGGTTTCCATGGCAACAAGGCCTGCCTCGCGGAAAAGGGTGCCGCGGGCCGGCTGGCTGCGCGGCGAAGCGCCATTTCTCATTTTAGTAATGAACGACGACGCGAATAATTCACGCATCGGTAATGAGATGTAATTAAGGTAAATCTTATTACGATGTTATTTTTATAACGGTTTAAAACTTTGTCTCTAACCCAAGAGAACCTTTTTATTTGGTTAGTTATTTGACATGGCATTAGTTCAGGTGGTTTATTGGTTACATTTAATTGTCCATCGCCTGATGCATACTAATGAGTAAGTGATGTCTTGGCAAAAAGCAGCTTTTTTCATTAGGCCTTTATTATTACGACTCTATATAGGAAGATTCAATGAACCATTTAGTTGGTAAAAAAAAAAAAAAAACAGCACACAGGACCGTTAAAGTGTCGCCGTGTTTCCCCGTCACTGAGTTTCTGTAGTTTCTTCTCTAAATGCCCCCTTCACAAAAGAATCATCGCTCCGTACTTGTAAAATGAACCGCTTGATGCTGACACACTAAAAGGGTGTGTTGTCGGTTAGGGCGGCAGCCCTCACCTCGCCTTACCGCGGACCGCACGGTGGGGCTTCCCCCCCATCGGCTGCGTTTGTAAACTGCTGCGTCCACATCAGGGGCTACATTATTTGTGGTGAAGGAAATGGTGAGCTTAGTCAAATTCTCTGTTGGCTCCCGTCTTTTCCTTTCATGAAAGCTGCTGGGGAGTGCAGACAGAAGATGGTAGCCGGCTAGCTTCTTAGCGGAACATGCTGCTTAGCCATCTCCTAAATAAGGAACGCTATTGTTTTATATGTTGCAAAAACTCATTGGGAGCACAAACAAATTGAAACTTTTTCCTCTACTGTATGTCACTTTGGATAAAAGAGTAAGATAAATAAGTTAAATGTAAACGTAATTTTTAGTGTAGTGACGGTTTTGTGGCCAACAGGGGGCTCCACGCAAATGTGCGGTTTGGGTGGCCACCGAGCGTGAGACTTCTTTGTTTTCCGATTTTAAATATTACAACAAAGATGAGGCAAATTGTTAGAATGTTTGAAAGTGTAAACCGCTTCTACACACAAAAGGGCAGCTGAATACAAAACATACGTCCCTAACAAAATGAAAAGAAAACCAGTGCTTTTATCACTGGGGTAATGGGGGCCGGTCGACTCCCTGCCAGTTTCAAAATCTGGCGGTTAATTTCGGTTTTTATTTCGATCTCCGGTGTGTGCTAATACATAGTGTGTCAAATAATTATAATAAGTCTCTTTATTGTATTTTTTTTAATTAATGTGTATTTTTTGCACGGCTTTGCAGTGCGTTGATGGGGTCTCTGCACCGGACAGTGCGGCCCTGAAACGTGTGGCTGTGGTGGAGGACTTCTTCGACATCATCTACGCCATGCATGTAGAGGTGGGCGCGGACCCTGCCAAGGCGCCCAAGCACGCCGGCCAGAAGAAGACGTACAAGGCGGTGAGAAAGGCTTCCTAGTCTCAGGAGCCCCAATCTCCCCTCTCCATCTCTCTCTCTCTCTAATCCATTTTTTTTTTACACCATCATCTCATTATTATCTGTGCAGTTTTAATTTCCTTTCTCATTGATGTCTTGCTCGTCTGTTTTTTTGTTCTGGTGTTATTTGTTTAGAACTCTCTGTTTTCTGTTGAGCTAGATGCCATAGTCAAAGCAAAGTTAACTGAAAGCACGATGTAAACAAGCCTTGACAGAAGACAGAACCTTCTGGAGAGGTGCCTCCTATATGATCGCTCTGAATGTACCTTGCGGTTCCGGAAAATGTTCAGAAGGTCCATGGTGTTCACGCAGAGTTACATTATGGACAAAAAGCTGCAGCAATGAGGTTTGAAAGACAGAGATCTCACCTGTTGTGGGTTTTGCAAGTTCAATCAATAGGTTAGCGAAACTTGTAATATGAAATAATGTGTGAGATGCAACACGGTGCCATTCAGAAAGATGCTTGGGGGTTCTGCTCACACACACACACACCCATACACACACTGGCTCTTCATTTTAAAAACACATTTTTTCCTTTCACCTTACCTGAATAGTCCAAATTTTGCTGAGATTTCCATTTAGACCGTGTGAAAGGCAACGTTTCTCGTTTTTGATTAAAGGAGCCTGGGAGGATATTGGATTCTTCAAAGAGCTTGACCCTCGGCGGTCAGAACGGCGTTTTATGGAGCTTTTTTTCAATCTGACGGCAGTGACGGTCAAAACCCTACTCTCCTTCAGCCACAGTTAGTTACCCTGTTGGCGTCCACTGGGAACCCTGCCCTCTACTGTCCAAACTGAGAAACTGCAATCAGCCTTCTCTGTGTTTGTCCAGATCGCTGTAATTTCCGGAGTCTAGAACATGTGAAGAGTCAGAGCAGATGCTAGATGCTGGGGCTTCTTCAAAGACACACGCATGCCTTTTTTTGATGAGAAATGTGCCCGTCAGATGCACAAAGACACTAATAGGTCTCCCCCACGAGGCATGTCTTCTTTCATGCAGACTTGTCTGGCCCTCTGTGCCCCGCCCCCCCCAACCAATTTCCCAACCCCTCTTGTGCCTGGAGCACAAGCGAGGAGGATTCTTGCCCTCGTGAAGGTCAGATGCATGAAGGGAGCTGTGTTGGGGTGGTGGGGGTGCAGCATGTAAAGGAGGAAGAATGGAGGGGAGGGGGTGCTTGGGGTCATTAACCGAAGCCCGGCATGTTTGCGCTGTTGACAGAAAAAGGTGGTTGGGGGCAGGGACATCATGTGGGGCATGGGGGGGTGACAGCAACTGCCAGATCCGCCCCGTGGCCCTGCTAAGGGCGGCTCATAGATGGCGAGCTGAACTCATATCTGTGACTTGTTCCATCATGGTACTTTTGTTTTGTTTTTTTGCACAGTACATCAGTTCATTTTACTCTGGCTTCACATCACATAAATGGATGTTACCCTTCTCTCAAAATCTCCATGGTGAGGAACTAAATGTGCACATTGGGCTGGTGACCCAGGGTGGGACGGGGTCGAGTTCGGTGAGTCTCCGTGTCTGTTGTGTTTTTTTGTTATCAGCAGTCCGTTGTCGGGCTTTCATGTGGCAGTGGACTGTTAGATAGATAGATGGTTTGGAGAAGCAGTGAGGTTTGCCCCCCCCCCCGGGAAACATGCGAAGGAATCCTTTTAAGGGAATGGCAGCTGCTGCTCCCCCCTTCCTGTCTCTAAGACGCAGTCGCATCAAAATGCCCTGTCATCCAGATGCACTCTCATCTAAAACGGCCTCTCCTCTGAACCGCCCTCTCTGCTCTCCAGTACCCATCCGGCCTGGGAAAAAAAGGAGGAGGGATAAGATGGGTAGGAAAGCGAGGGAGCAAGAGCAGTGAAGGGGGAGCAAGCAGCACCCCCCCCCACAGCTCTGAGCGGTGTGTGTGTGGCCAGCTGCCATTTACCCCCTGCTGTGATGTCGCTTTGCAGCCATTAGGGTTGCTTTACTCTGTTTGTGTGTCACAGTGGGAAGGTCTTGGGCTTTGAATTAGCCCCCGTTGCCATGCCGGCACTCCTGCTCCCACTATCGTGCCTGAAAGGGGCCCCGTTTTCCTGGCACCGTCCACTCGCATCATCACACGAAGGCAGCCAGCCTACTGTTAGTTTACTTGGTTAGTTACCAGATCTGTGGATTTCCGATTTCACAAACTCCTATCCTCCCATTCGGCCGCTAATTATGTTTTTTTGCGCTAATTAGGAAAGTCATGTGACTCCAGTGTGGATCCTTCCCCACACAGATCGCCGAGACATACGCTTTCCTGCCCAGGGAGGCGGTGACCCGCTTCCTGATGAGCTGTGGCGAATGCCAGAAGAGGATGCACATCAATCCGAGTGGCGCCGAATTCAAAGGTAGCGACCCCACAGTCCACCCGGGCATAGAATGAAAGGGTGGGATGCGAAGTCATGTTGTTGAAATGTGGAGCCTACGATGCCTCTGTCAAAGGGGGGGTGGTGTTCCCTGCCATGCCTTTGTCTTTATTTATTTACAAATCATCCTGCGTAGACTGGGGGGGGGGGGTGTTCCATGAAGAAAGATTTCTCAATTAGCTGGGTTAACTTAAGCTAGATGTCCTAATTGTCTAATCAGAATGCTCCTTACCTAAACTGTTATTGGATGGATATTACTTCTAGTTTTAAGTTAACCCAGATAAATTGAGAAATCCTGCTTTGTGGAATACAGCCCAGGGGATTATTTTTAGATTATTGCTTCAGATTATTTGAGGGCTGAGATAGTGAATATTCTGGATTCATATTTGACCACTGGGGGGCGAAGTCCTCTCATTACAACGGTCTTCCAACTAGAATGACGGTTTGTGAAGCTGAAAGAGGTTGGACGGACCTCTGACATGGGCCACTGTTTGCTGAACTCACTCTGGTTGTCGCACAATCGCCTGTAGAGAGAGGTCAGATAATTGACTGGGTGTCCCATGGAGTCCCCCCCCCCCACCCATTCTCCATCAGCCTAAGCTACCCATACTAAAGTTCAGGGCTGAATTATTAAACGGTGCTAATTGCTGTAAACAAGGGCTGTTTAACACATAAGCAGTAATTAGCATCTTCATGGGCTAGTTTTTATGTGCAGAGGTAGAGTAACATTCGCACAGAGGGGAATCCCAGACCGCTTTTCCTATTTGTAAAAAATCCATCCTGAAATTCCTTAAAATGTGGGGCTGACTTGGGAACATGTACAGAGACATGGAGGAGCTGGAGAGTTGAAGCAGTAAATGAAATGGTGATAAATAGGCGACTATCAGAGATGGCACCCACATAGTGATGCTCAGTGTACAAGAGACTCGTAATTATAATATCTTAAGCTTTTACTGGACTACTGAACCATGGAAATAAATACACACCCTTTCTATAAAAGTGACTGACTTATCTACATTTTTACAATTGTTTTTTTGATAAATCACAGTAAAATAAGAATGTAAAAGGAATTTCACAACCTTGGATTGAGCTGTTTTTTTTCTGTGCAAGAAAAAAACCAACTCGTTCAAAGATGTTAATTTCCTAAACCAGATCCAGGGACAAAAACAATAAAATCTATCTTCTCAGATGATTAATATCATCGGTTTCTTGACAATGCGACACAATCAAAATAACCAAAATCAGGTCTGTGTGACACTCAAATGGCTTATGTTCTTTTTATTAGAGATCCATCCTGGGTGTAGCTAATTTTGGTTATTTAAAATTTGCTCAACAAGCTCATGTAACTAATTAATTCTATAATATTAGCTTCCAAAAATAAGCAAGGTGTCAATATCCAAAGATTCACCCACTGGCTGCTGAAAGTTTCCTAGCCTCTTAGCGGGTCAGCTTGTGTCAGGGTGCCTGTCTTCTATGCATGTTTAATCTCAGCCTTTATCGCTGCTTTATTGTCATGTGGCGTATTGTACTCCGCATTGTTAAAGCGGCAGTGATGTGACATGGCCAGTGGCGTGGCAGGGGGCCTTGTACATGCGGACAGAGTCGGCCCGGTAATTAGAGCCTGGCTCGGCCTGGATTGGCGGACGCTCCAGCCTGACCGCGCTCTGCCAACAGTGCGATGACGTAACCAGGGCACCGTTTTTGTGCCAGGCATTCCGGATTTAATGGATTGATGACGAGGGTCCCAAATATGCTCCCCCCACATTTTTCACATGTCTTATTAGATCTGGGTCCACGGGAGGGGGAGCAGGGTGAGCCTGGCTGACCCAGTGATAAGCATGGCCCACCTCACAGCCCCCTTAGATAACCCTGTGCCGCCCCCCCCCCCCCCCCCACACACACACACACACACACACACACACACACACACGTTTCAAAGCTTAATTCAAGCCTGTATCTTCACATGGCTACTTGGACCCTCATTAAAATTGCCCATTATTACTGTCAGCAAACTCAGTTTTACTAAAGACACAATTGGAAAAAAATCTGTCACAATGAAAAATATTGACTTTTTTTTTTTTAATTTGAATGTCGTATATTTTCATTCTAGCTGCCAGCTTAGAAGGAAGCTGCCATCCTCTATCACGAGGCTTGTAGACGTAGCTGCCCCAGTGGCCAGTGAGGTCCCCAGTGGCCAGTGAGGTCCCCAGTGGCCAGTGAGGTCCCCAGTGGCCAGTGAGGTCCCCAGTGCCTGTTACTACTAACAGTGGTCTGTTAGTATGGAAATGATTTTTACATAATACCGGCTGCAGTTTTGCACTGGGGTAAGAGAAATGAGACTAAGTAGGAATAAGGGAATCGGGGTTATGTAGCTCGAAAATGCCTCAAAACCAGCGACTCAGTGTAGGTGCCAATATATAAAAATTCTCGCCTGCTGGTGCTTGTCGTCCTGAAAGGACTCTACTCTCTTTCTGATGTGGTGGACTGTTACGATCTGGCTCAAAACCGTAACAAAAAGGAAAAAAAGAAAATCCAAGAGAAGACACGGGACCCAAGCTTACTAGATAATTAAAGAATTTAATAAGAATAAAAGAAAAAGAATGCTACACAACATATATAATGCATGGTTGTCAGTAGTGTCAGTAGTGCAGGCATGCAATGTTCATGTAGTGTAAACTAAATACGGAAACGAAAATCAAATACAAAACAAAACCAAAACAAAACAAATGGCAACGTGCAACAGGTGCCTGAGCACGAGCCCCATGTTCCCCAAAGCCTGGCCATTTTAAAAGGGATCAAATCAGCTACAACCTTAACAAGCATCAGGTGTAACTGGCTCTGAGTCATGACAATGAAAATTGCCAACACTTGATGACCATCAGTCCACAACCCACACTAAAGGTCGTCACATGGACACATTTTATTTTTTTTTTACAGGATTATTTCCCCCTCCCCGCAGTTTGGGCTATGAGGTACAATGACGATTTTCATCTCTTGTGTGATGCTTTGCAGAGAACGACCGGCCCACATCGCTCGTCCCCGATCTGATCGACTACAACATGCCGCTTACCACGGCCTACCTGAAGCAGATGAAGATGGGGTGCATGAACGCCAATGAGCAGGTGATTGCTGGGGCTCGCGGCCTGTCACCCGTGTGGGGTGGGGGGGGCAATAGGCCAGGTTCCTGCCTCACTGTGGGACGATCCCCAGTGAAAATGCAAAAAAAACAACAGATTTTTAAGAGTAATTTCAGGCTCCATCTCAAACGTTAGAGATATTTCAGATGCTTCCCAATCGGGTCCTAAAGGACTCAGACAGTCCATGTTTTTGCTGGGAGGGAACAAAAAAATCCTGAGGACCAGATTGGGGACTTAGAGGATTAGCTCAGCTTGTGATGGAATTGTGGAATTGCTCTCCTTTTCACCACACGCGTGAATAATGCAGAGATTATTATTATTTTTTGAGTTTTAATTAAGTGTCTAACTCTTACAAAGCCAAGCAATCTCTAGAATTGCAGGTTTAATGACAGCTACAGTTAGGTATGTCACATCTCTCATCAGCAACTATCCACCCTTTTCTCTCTGTCCTCCCCCAGACCAGACTGGCAACTGTAGCAAAATAGAAACAGTCTTTCAGAGCTGTCAGTCATCCTCAGTCATTGTTAGTGCCCCCCCCCCCAAAATGCACTTCTCTCTCTTACAGAGAAGCAGATTCTGGTGTGAGTGGGTGAGCTCATGTGGGCGGTCTGGTCTCCACCTCGAGCACCGATGTAACCGGGAAGGGAGTGGGTTTCCGTGGATTCCAATTAACAAAGCCCTCCGAGCGCCGCTTTAATTAACGGAGGTGTGAGAAAAGCTCAGAGCCGCCAATTTTCCTGCGGTGGGCGTGTGTGCGGGCTGCGTTTGTTGGAAACATCTCCGGTGATGGGCTTGTCCCCTCACCACGCACCTGCTGCTGCACTGACCTCTGACCCCCCCCACCACACTGCTCACTCTGCCTTGGGTCCTCTTCAAGATCACCCCCAGCAGGCAGGCAGTCCGGGCTTCGGGAGTCGACGTCGACCTGACGCCACCTGATAAGAATCCGTCATGCATAGTGTGCTCATTTCTCGGTCGTTATGATCTCTTCCTTTTGGGTTACGGCTGTACTCAGTATTTTTTTTTTTTCTCAGCCATTTCGTCACATATTTAGACACCAGATTCTGTGTGAGAACCTGACCCCGGAGTAGGATAGCCCACATCGGAGAGTCATTGCGGATCCTTGTCCACGGAGTGTGGCCCGGCCAAGGCAGTTGGGGAGTGACTGGGGGGAGGGGGGAGAGGTGGTTATGAAAACATGACCGTCCTGCAGAGTGACTGCGTTGTGCCACCCCATCTGTGTGTGTGTGTGTGTGTGTGTGTGTGTGTGTGTGTGTGTGCCCACCCATCCAGGCCAATTCAATAACGGAGGAAATGGCATTTATGCTTCCTGGAGGAGGAGAATGCAGGGCCAGAGGATAGACTGCAGGGAGTGGGCAGGGCAGTGGCTCTGGGTGGATGAGCAAAGGGAAACCATGTATGTGTTTTACTTTTGCTGGTCGTCTGCATTAGTCAGCCAGTAAAGCTTTCAGTCATGAGATTCAGTTTAAACACGGGCAGCCAGAAATGCATCATTAAAATGAGGTAAAAGTTACTGAATTACGGTTTAGGATGGCAAGCCCCTTTGACCCGGAGCAAGATAAACAGTTAGAGGATGGATGGATGGATGGATGGATGGATGGATGGAAATCCACATGGCTGTGATTATTCTGCACTGACAGCAATACAGAGCAGAAGTGAGTTTTGCATCAGTACAGCTGTGAAGCATAGCAACCGTAACTGTTCCCTCGTTCTTCATTATCTCCTGTTCTGGACTTAAGTCTTAGTTTCATGTCTTATACCATCTGTGGCTGGATGTTTTTAATGCACTTATTTAGATGTCTTGAACGGACTTTTCTGTCGCATCTAAAATGATCATGACTGGTAATGCAAACCTTGTCCCCTGTTAATTTTGTCTTTTTTTAACGAATACTTGGCCTTAAATACCAAGAACAGTCGACCTAGATCACGATAGGGGTGTGGGCAGTGGTGGCTTAATGGTTAGGGAACCACACTCATAATTGAAAGATTGCAAGTTTGAATCACCGACCAGCAAGGCACCACTGAGGTACCCTGAGCAAGGTACTGCTCTTAACCACTGCTCCCCGGGCGCTGAATTAGCTGCCCGCTGCTATGTCACATTGTCACATTATCATATGGGTTAAATGCAGAGGGCACATTTCGGTGTGTGCTGTGGTGTGTCAACAATGACAATTAATCACTGAATTCTGATAGTATCAAATTAACAAAGATATATATATATAATGTCTTTCATGTTATGCGGGACTGTGTGTTTGGTTATTATTATCGTTGTTATTCCGCCCCGAGACCCTGAACAGGATAAGTGTTTGGAAGTTGGATGGATGGATTTTCACCGCCAAGTAAATTGCGTAAGCTTGCGGATTTGTGACCACGGCTTGTTCGCATGTCGTTTGAAATTCTGCCTGTGGGTGGCGGTGCTTCCCAACAAATCCGCACCCTGTTCGTTACGATAATAGAAATACTCGGCGAGGCCCCTTACAACAGGCCTGACCCTGGTCCTCAAAATGTGTAGCAGCATTTCCTGCCATGAGGCGTTTCATTACCATAGCGTAGGTGGCGTAGAGGTCGAGCTCCTCCTCTTGTGTCCAAAAGGGAACGCAGGAAAATTAATACTTATGCATACTTTAAAAATTAAACTATGCGACTGTTTAAAACGCATGCGAGTTATAGTGCTTATTTACCAGTTAAAAACTGAAAAGCAGAAAACTGATACGTAACAATGGAGCATAATGTGCTGTGCACTGTAGCACAGAAACGGAACTAAATATGCGGATTTAAGTAATCCAATCGTATCAGCTAACACCTAAGCCCCTACTTCTGCTTAACCCCAACCCACCGTCTCCCGTCGTGCGTGTGTGATATGGCACATTGATTTTTCACAGTATATTGTCCGAGCGTCATCCTAAGCCGACCTCTTGTAGCCGTATATGTCAGAGGTAAAGCTTTTAGCCCATTCTGATCATTGTCGCGCAGTATCCTGCCTGATTGGCCTCTGAAGGTTCGACTTGGCAGACTAACTGAAATAAAGCACTATGCAATGCGAATACATTCAATTGTTTCCGGGGGAATTAAAAGGAAAAAAGCCTGTGTGGAAATTATACAGGGACGAGCGGTTTCCACATTATTAACAATAAAATTAGCGATATGAGGGAGGCGACGCATGAGGCAGCCGCCGTCAATCACGCCGTTGAAGGGGTGTGGTTATTGCGACGAGCGCCCCGCCCACGGGTAATGTCACCGCGCAGGCCCCGCCCATGCCCCCGGAGCTGGCTGTCAGCGCGAGGCGCAGAGGGTCCGGGTCTCTCACACATTAACAGGGTGCTGTTTAAATATTAAAGAGGAAAAAGGGGGAAGCAGGGCGAAGGCAGAGCCTAAGGAACGGACGTGCATCGCTCAGAGAGTGGATCTGACGAGCTTTGGAGAAGTACGATCGGTACGAGGTAAGCAATATGTGCTCGGGTTTATAGTATTATAATTTTTATATTTGTTGTTTCTATTATTTCCCTTATTCATGTAGTTATTATAGTTGTTTATGTTTCTGTAGTTTCCACGGCGCTTCGTTTTCTGCGTTTGTCCGAACGCGGCTCTGACAGTACGGCTGGACCATACTGCCTCTGTTTGTCCGCTTTCTTTGACAGCCCACTTTCCCAAGTCCGCTTCCCCCCCCCCCCCCCCCCTTTCCGCCTAAACAGATGGCTTTAATGCGGGCTAAAACTACATCGCAGCGCCCGGTGATGATGACAATAATAAAAATTGAGCAATTGTGGCCTGATTGTCATACGGGGACGTGCTAATTTTCCTTGGGGAAATCAAGACAGTCATCAGGTCTCTTATAATGCGAAATGTTTCAGGCTGTGCAAATATTTCCCGTATTTCGTGCGGCTTTAGTGTGAGCAAACCGATACTGTAATACTACATACCTTGGAGACGACCGCAGCTAGACGCGCATTTAGTACAATACAGCAAAAGACGTTCACTTAAGAGCTGCCGCGTTTTAAAACACAGAGGGTTGCGTGCAGACCATGGCTCCTGTAATTAATACTGGACGTAAAGTTTTACGACCCGATAATACAGACCTGTTATATTTTACGCCAAAGGGCATTTCCTTATTTATTTGTGATACACGTCGCCATCCGTCCTGGCTGTAGGTATGATAACCGTAATAATAGTAATACCTCATACATTGACAGTAATACTGATGATGATGATGATGAAGAAAAACGGTTTTCATTGAGTGTCCTGTGTGATAACCGGCGTGTTTTTGCTTTGTTTGTCTGACGAACTTAAAATATCGCTTCTATCTGCATTTTTTTCAAAACCGCCCGTATTCTAGTGCCGTCAACTGTCCACAAGCACGGTCCGTTCCTTGCAGTATTTAAAAATATCATTACACTTATACCGTAAGTAACGAGGTCGTATCAGGTCCACATTTCACACCGCGAACTGTAACTAAGGTTAAAATGTGTAAAGTTGAACTATAGAGGCACTCTGTAAAGGTAAAAAAACACCCCATGCATCTTTTTCCACTTCATTCAAGAAGGTACGTCTTCTGATAGAACTACACCTCTTCTGGTTATATTTTGTCTTGTGGAAATTCAAAGTAATTTCACCAACATTTTGGGTGATTTCTGGCTGCCTTTTTGTTATAAATCGATGTGTTAGTCGATATTATTCTTCAACCATTATTTTTTCTTGAATTCTAGCTTTTAAATCTTTTTTTTTCCCAGACCCAGTAATGAAAAGGCTGCAGTTCATGTTATGAATGTTTCATTGTTAAATATGCTTTGTTGGTCTAATATATACTGATCTCTTTCAATGTTAATCGGTGTTAAATCAGTGTCGTTTTTATACAGTTGGTGTTAGTCAGGCTCTATATAATGAAAGGCAATAACTGATAATGTATTTCTCGCTTGTTTTGGGAATAATTCTCTATGTAAGCAGATTAAATTAAGCCTATTCAGTGA